TTGTGCAATGGAATGCATCTTTCCTCTGTGTGTTGGCCATGTGTCCATCTGGATTCTAAACTGATTTAGGACAGTAATTGTGTCCTGTATTTTTCCTGTCTCCTGGAGTATCCCTCTGGCTCAGGGGAGAGCACACAGGAGATTGCCAAACCATGCTGGTCATTTTTGGCTGGCTGGTTTCCTTCCAGGTGGTGTGAGGATGGAGGGCCTGGGTTAGGTGGGTAAGTACATTAGGTGGGTAAGCCTTCCCACCTGACCACATTCCCTTCCACCTGGACAGATGGTATCTCTGCTCTTCCTGGACATTTCTGGAGTTCCCCACCCCTGAATAAAAATTGGTAAGTAATAGAATAAGATGGACTGTTATCTTTGTGCCTCCCATTTTATTATGATATCCAGGCCTAATTTTAAAATGTATTGGTAAACTTTTAGAGGACTTCTTCGCATTTGGGGGTCATGGAGCAGGGTTGACAGACTTGACAGACTCAGCACCGTGAAAGCAACAAGAATCAGCCCGGCATGTCAAGTTCTTTCAAAATGTTTGCCCACAGCACATACTCAAGCATGGGTTCTTAGAGAAACGAATGAATCTCAATGCCAACCATGAAAAGGAGAAATCTAAGGGTGAGCCCCGTGGATGTCTGAGAATCCTAAGTATTTGGATCTAATCCTCGACTCAGATCTTGTTGAGCAAAGAGCGAGGAGTAAAAGAAAAACAAAATCCCCAAAGCATCTTAAAGCATTAAGAATTACTGGGACAAGGGGGATGTAGCTCAGTGGTAGAGCATTTGCCTTGCACGCACAAAGCCCTAGGTTTTATGCTAGGTACCAAGGAATGAAAGTTATTGGAACAAGTTGCTGCCTCTGAATTGCAAGGAGGAAAACCCCTTGCAACAGAAAATTGGTTAAAACAATCCCTATTTAGAAATATATCTTGGGGGGGGCTGTGGCTGTGGCTCAGTGGTACAGCACTTGCCTGGCATGTGTGAGGCACTGGGTTCGATTCTCAGCACCACATAAAAATAAAGGCCCACCAACAACTAAAAAAATATTTAAAAAAAGAAAGAAATATATCTTGGGGTTTTCAAAATGACTTTGGGATTATGTTTTTCTCAAGTCTTTCCAAATACTGAGAAATGTGATTAAATAACAAAAGTCACAAGACTGGGGATTCATGAAAGTGGATTCTCTATCATTAAAATACAGTGAAAGAGTAGGAAGGAAAATGTCAGCCAGGAATCCCGATGCTTCTTGTGTGTTTCATCTTGTCTGTCTACCAGGTCACTTGCAGAGAAGAGGGATCTCCCCCTCTCTGCCCTCCTTCTTTATTTCCTATAAAACTCGAAAATACACAATGACTGCAAAGAAGACATTCAGTTTCTATTATCCAAATGAACCCGACAAGGAGTTCTGAGTGGATGGCTACTTCAGAATTGAGAGATGAGAGTAATATTTCTAAGATTGAGAGAGAATTTAAAAGTTCAATTGGATGACATTTTAGAGACTTGACTTTAGTTTTTTTTTTTTTTTCTTGTTTAAGCGCATCACCCCAACCAGGGCTGCATTAAGAAATTTTAAAATGATGGAGTGTACTGTGTCTTTGGGGTTTCTTAACTCTCAGTTGGATTATGCTTTTTATTAGATTCCAGTGGTACTTGGCGTGTTATGTTAATCCATATTTAAACTAGGGTGACCTTACGTCCCAATTTGCTCAGGACAGTCCTGGTTTACACCTGTTGTCCCAGCAGAATTATTAATAGCATCCTTCTCTACCTTAGCATACCAGTTTGGAAGATTAAAATTCTAAAATCACACTATGACTCCTAAAACTATTCTAGAGTATAGCATGCCTTTCATTAATCATTGCAATTTGTAGCTACTTTATACAATAAATAAATACTTAGTTGTAATTGGACACAATACCTTCATTTCACTTATTTATTTTTATGTGGTGCTGAGGATCGAACCTAGGGTCCCGCATGTCCGAGGCGAGTGTTCTACCGCTGAGCCCCAGCCCTAACCCAAGAGAGCCTTTCTTCTTTCTGTTGGATCCTTTAAACTTTAGAAGGCTCCTCACAGAACCAGAGAGCCAGTGGCAAGCTGGGCATGGTGGCACACGCCTATAATCACAGCAACTTGGAAAGCTGAAGCAGGAAGATGGCAAGTTTGAGGCCAGCCTGCTGTCTCCGAATAAAAAATAGAAAGGGTTGGGGATGTAGCTCAGTGGCAAAGCACCACTGGGTACAGTCCCCAGTATCAAAAAAGAAAAAAAAAAAAAAAACCAGAAGCAAGCCAGTGGCAAGACAATGACAATCATATTCAACACAAAGACAACTGTTGTTCATTAACAACACCTTAATGAACATGTGTTGTTAATTAGTGATTTTTGTATTATTCAGGTTGCATTTCTATTTATCAACTATATTATAAATTAAATTGTATTATTATGTATTATTAAACATGCCAATGGCTGAATCGCACATACCTTCATAGCCAAAGAGAAGTAATAACAAGAAGCCTTCTATCTTGCGTGGCATTTTCCCTTGTCCTTGGCGGCAGCTCTACCTTCCTGAAGTGGGGAGCTTGCCCAGGAGGAGGAGATTAACTTGAGCACCAGCCTCATTAAGCATCTTATTCCATTTAGTTCTTAGGTTTTAGCTGAGTCCCATCAAGTTAACCCACATAGTTACCTGCCTCAACAAGGAAGTCTCAGAGACAATACTAAAGTCAACTGAGGTTGGTTTAACAAGGAAGATACTGGTTTTATTCTATCTTTAAATGTTAAGGGAAGGAATGGTGGGAAATAGAAACTAGAATCCTAAGACTCAGCTCTTCATCTGTTCTCTGTTATTGTCTTCTAGTGGGTGACCTTGAGCAATTTTCTGCCAAATAAGTCCTAACATTCTTGAATGGTATGAAAATGCCACTGAATCACCTCTCACAAAGCAACTTGGTGTCATGTTCATACTATTCACTCAGGAAAATACTAAATTTGGTGGGGGAGACAGTTACACACAAAGATGTTTAATGCTGTGTTACTTATAATAATAAAATTGAAAACAAATCAAAGTGTGCAAGGTTAGGGGACTGGTTAAGCAAATTAGGAAAGGTAGTAAAGCTGGGGAGGGTTAAGAACATGGATTTCCAAAGTACACTGGATGCAAATCCTAGTTCTACCATATGCTGTGAACTTAGAGCAAATTTCTCATCTGTATGATAATGATAATAATGCTTCATTCATACAGTTATTTTGGCTTAAATGGAATAATATCTGATGGTGTTCATTTGTAATCCTAACTATTCAGGAGGCTAAGGCAGGAGGATCACAAGTTTGAGGCCAGTTTCAGCAGCTTAGTGAGACCCTGTTTCAAAATAAAAAAAACTGGGGATATAAGAACTGGGGATAGAACTGGGGATATAACTCAGTGGTGGAGTGCCATGGGTTCAATTCCCAGTAAGGGTGGTAGTGGGGAGTGATGATATATACAAAGTACTTAGAATAGATCAGGTAGGGGGTGGTCTAGTGGTAGAGCTTTGCTTTAGCATGTGCAGGACCTTAGAATTGATCCCCAGTATAGCAAAACCAAAACAGAACACTTAGAACAGTGCCTGCCATACTTACCTATCATTGTTACATAGCCATTAAGAATTGGGTTGATAAGGAGCTCCAGGTGTGGCTCAATGGTAGAATGTGTGCTTAGCCCAGGGTTCATATTTCCCAGCACTCCTAAAAAATTGATGGAAGGAAAAATGAAGTAACCACTCCCTTGATGGGTGTAGAGCTTCAGTTTTGCAAAGTGAAAAGATGCTGATCTGTTTCACAACAACGTGAATAGGCTTAACATACCAATGTGAATAGTACATAAAAACTGTATACTTAATGGTTAAGATGGCATTTTAAAGGAGAATTGAGTTGATTGTTAATGACAGGGACAATTACAAAAAAGTAACGAATTTATGTACTGTATAAGCAGAACTATGTGGGAAAATGCTGAGAAAAACACAGTTTTCCCTTCCTCTTTTAGTTCTTTGCCATCACCATCCCACCTGTAGCCTACATCCTCAGTACCCAAGGCTCAGACACCTTTCTCTTATTCATTTTATCAAAGATGAGAAAAGCCAAAAACAAAACACAACACAACACAACAAAACACCTCTCCCCACCCCGTAAAGGAAACAGTAATGAAATATTAAAGAGGAGCACAAAAGCAACTAGGCAAATGTTTGGTCATTCAATAGGCACTTATTGGATGTCTATAGAACTGGCTTTTATTCTATACTATGTATGGATTCATTAAACAGATGAATGTGTATTCCATTAATCCCACTGCTGTCTTAAAAACAAAAGGACTATATTGTCCCCCTGCTTTGTATTTTAAAGTTGACCGAAATATTAAACCTTCAATCATAATCATAATCAACCTTTAATAATTCAACCGCAGTCAAATCGCTGCTTTACTGTTACATTTTAGTTGGAGGTTTTGTGTGGAGCCGGCCTGTCCTGGCTCCAGGGAAAGCGCCGCGCCGGGGAGTACCAGGAGAGGTCGGATAGGGTCCAGCAGAGACCTTGGCTCTGCGCCGCCTTCACCCTCTGCTATTTCGCGAGTCTGGCAACTGCAGCCGCGATCTTGAGGAATTGGAGAGGTTTTCATTTCGTTTCTGTGATGAAAGAATGTCAAAAAAATTTTAAACGAATAAAGGATAGATAAGGAGAAAAACACTTTTTTTTTTTTTAGTGGATGTTATTTTGTTTTTGTCTTTTTTTAGCCAGAATGCTCAATGGATATAAAAACCAAGAACAACTTCTTAGTTATGGTTCCACTGGGGCTCGAACCCAGGACCTTCTGCGTGTAAAGCAGACGTGATAACCACTACACTATGGAACCTCCACGCAGGCCCGGAGCGTTAGTTGACTATTCATAGTCACATTAAACCCAGCGCCTCCCCCACCCCCCCCGGAACCCCGCCCCTCCGCCGTGGTTCCGCCCCGCCCCCGAGGCACAAGATTAGCTTCTGGATCTTCGCCGGCAGCTTCGGAATTTGAGCTGCTTCAGCCGCTCAGCACCTCAGACTTTCGGCCGCCTGTAACCAGGGCTAAGCCGGGACTCGGTCCCTTCCTCGCCGAGAATGCTGGCCCCCTAATTACCGGTCCCCAAACTTTCCCTCAGCCGAAGCGTCGGCAAGGTGGTCCGACGGGCAGAAGTGCGCCCTGCTGGGGCACTGCTCCTTCTGACAGCTTCGCAGAACTCGTGAAGGACCGGTACTTTCCCATTTTCCCCCACAGGCAAACTGAGCCTGGGTGACCCGACTGACCTGCCCCGTCAGAAGTCAGAATGTTGCCGCTTCCGGCAGCTTTGGAGACACTGAGGCAGGAGCAGGGAGGACAGGAGCTAAAGAGTTGGCAGCGCGGGGTTCGGAGGTGGGGCGCCATTTTTATGATGGCGTCTATTGTGCCTGGGTTGAAAAAGGCCACTGGTTAGTTAGTGGGCTCCTTGCCCGAGGGTACGGGCCTGTTACTCTCCTCTAACCTTATCCCAGCATTCCTCCCTTTTCGAAGCCGCAGAGGGGATGAAAACCGAAGGCCTTGCCTTCAGTCCCTTTGGGTTAGGGTCAGGGGTGGTGCTGGTGTAGACAGGCCACCTGAAGCATGATTTCAGGTGCCCAGTGTAAGATGAAAAATGGCAGGTCCCGTTTTTATAAGTTAGGAAGATTTTCAAACCTTGACAGTAAAGCATTAAATCCAGCGTGGGGGCCTTGTGGGATTGCAGATGGCAGTTCCTGACCCTACAGCTGTGTTTCTAGAACTATGGTCCCAGTAAGATGCTGCGATCCGTCGCCTCAAAGGACTCCCACATGGTTTCCCACATGGTCTCACTTCTTGCTTTTCATTGTTAGTGTCATTTTGCCTTCTCCAGGGCTTCTGGGTGGATCTTCACCGCCATCATAGGATTGCTCACCACCTGCAATCTTGAAAACCCACTAAAAAACACGGTGGTTGCGGGGAGGAGCGCATCTTAAGCACCCTGGTGGATTTGAGCTGTAGGTGGCAGGTGTTCTTTTCCCTGGCGTCTTCCTCCGAGGCTGGCAGGATGATGAAGAAATGATACTGATGATAGGAAAGCAATTCCCTTCAACCAACTCCTGTTTTCCTGAGAAAGCCCGTGGAAGATACAGGTGGGTGGAATGAACACTACGTGGGGGTCATGATCTGGATTTTAGTTTTGTTGTAGCTACTCACCAGCTGTATACTCTTGAGCTAGCCAATTCACCTTCCAAGTCTCAATCTTTTCCTCTGTGAAATACTACCACTTTCCCCTCTGGCTCTAAATATTATCCCCATTTACCATGTAGAAGAATGGAGGCAGTTATTTGCCCAATGAATTTTTCCCCCCATAGAACTAATTAGAGGCAAGCTTGCAGCTAGTGCCTGTTTTATCTAGTACCCAGTTTTCCTGTGTCCTCAGTTTCCTGTAATATTCTTTACAGGGTCTCCTTACAGTCTTCCTTTTTGTTGATATATTTCAGGAGACCTCTTGAGTACTTGTTGCCTAGAGTGTGAGCCTTGAGATGACCATGAGTGGCCAGCCACTAACTGGAGAATGAATTCATAAAAGCTCCATGTTTCCTGCTAGTTATTGAGCTGTAATGACTGCTGGGGAACTCCGTAAATATGTCCTATTTCCAAGCCCCTATCAGTCCAAAACAAGGTTGCCAAGAATTGGCCCTAAAATTGTACCCACTAGTTGTGTGGTTTGTATCTCCAGGGAATGCTTTGCTCTCCCTTCAGCTTTCTGTTTGCCAAATGCAAGCTTTGGCCAAATTCCCATACTTAAAATCCATGTAGAAAAGAAGCTGCCCCTCTAATGCATTCAACACAGGTTTCTGCCTTTAGTAAAAAACAAAACAACAACAACAAACCCTTTTGTTTCTTTTCTCCATTATGGCCAGAAGGGAGACTTTAGTTCCATTCTTCATGCCCCTCTGAAGTGTAGTCACAATGTCTATTATTAGGAAAGTACAATATGGCTTACAAAGCACTTTCACATACATTCCTGGCCAGGAGCCCTATGAGGTAACCATGGTAAGTATTACTATCACCATTTTTCATTGAAGAAGTTATGTTGAGTTGGAATGCCTTGCCTGTTACCTTTCAGCTGGTGAGTAGCAGGCCTTGGTTTATATTAAGCCTAGTGATACCTGATTGTGCAAGGCCCAAGCCTATAAAGACTACATGTTTATTGCCTTAAGAGTGGCATTGGTTTTTTGTCTTATTTTGTATGCATGCTAGCAAGGCAGTGGATACCGTTTGTTTTTTTGTTTTGTAATTTTTAAACAAAATCCTCAAAAGTAGGAACCATAAGTCTGTTAGAAACAACTATTGATGACTTTTACCTTGAAACCGTTGAGAGGGATAATGCTTCAGATGGCCAGCTTTGCCTTGCACTTCTGTCTGTTTAGTCAGATTTGTGAGGCCTGACACACCCAGATATACCCTCGTGCATTTGAACAAGTATAAGAAAAATACATGAGCAAACTAATACATGAAGACCAGAAGCCACTTCAGACTTTGAGTTCACTGATTTCTCAGGTGTTTAGTGTTGTTTCACCAGTGTTTGGCTTCACTGATAGAGGTAACTTGACCAAAGAAACTGCGGTCCCAAACATGGAGTTTAGTTAAGAAGCCTAGTTTACCTGATATCATTTAGAAACTGTTGTATTGCAGCTCAATATATTCAAAATACCTTGAAACTATCCTATTGTGATAGACATTTTGGGGGTGTGTGTGTGTGTTTTGCAGTACCGGGGATGGAAACTGGGGCCTACTGCATGCTAGACAAGCACTCTACCACTGAGCTACATCCCCAGTCTAATATTTGTTTGTTTTTGCCACCTACCTTTTCACAGTCTCCTTCAACCTCCTGTACCTCCTCTCCCAACCTGGGTTACAGCTTATTACCATGCTTTCTATTTCAGTGGATAAAGTAAAAATGGAAGCAATCAGAAGAGAATGTCCACAGAAACCCACCTGTCTGTGGCTTCATACTTCTCTTCTTCATTTATCTCTCCCTCTGTCTTCTTACTCTGCTCAAATTCTGTGGTCATTTTTATCACACACTTGTTTGCCCCCTCATTGCTTCCTTATACTTGCTGGCAAAACCACAATCTGTTAAATGAAACTCTCTTTTCTGTGCTTCTGGATATGGCTCAAGAAAAATCCACATCCAGGCCGACTGGTTTCACATCAAATTCACCACTACTTGCTTTAGGTGAGCTCTGCAGCCCAGTTTCATGACCACTTCTTGTGGCCATTTATTTTATTTATTTGTTTATTTTTTTAAAGAGAGAATTTTTAATATTTATTTATTTATTTTTAGTTTTCAGCGATACAACATCTTTGTTTGTATGTGGTGCTGAGGATCGAACCCGGGCCGCACGCACGCCAGGCGAGCGCGCTACCGCTTGAGCCACATCCCCAGCCCCAATGGCCATTTATTTTTTACCTCCTACAGTATAGTTTCATATCTTTCTTACTCAACCTCCTGTACCTCCTCTCCCAATATGGGTTATAGCTTATTACCATGCTTTCTATTTCAGTGGATAAAATAAAAATGGAAGCAATCAGAAGAGAACGTCCACAGAAACCCACCTGTCAGTATCTGTGGCTTCATACTTCTCTTATTCCTTTAGTTCAGGGTGTCTCTATCACAGCTCTGTGGGTTGTGACTGGGTAACCCCCTTGTGTGGGCTGTCCTGTGTATGTTTTGCAGCATCCTTGGCCTCCAGTCAGTAATACCTGTGGCACCCATATATGAATACCCAGTTGTGACAACCCAAAATGTCTGCTGGAGGGAGCAAAATCTTGTGGGGGCTATTTGGCAATGTCTGGAGATATTTTTGTTTATTGTGACTTGGAGGGGGTGCTATTGGCTTCTAGTGGATAAAAACAAAGGATGCTACTTTATATCCTGCAATGCACAGAAGAGTTCCCCACAACAAAGAATTACCTGGCCTCAAATGTCAGCAGCACCCAGTTGAGAAACCCTGTTCTAATTGGATTATTTGCATTTCTAATGCCTGCTCTGGCCCACCTGCTCTTGCGTACTCTAGGAACTCACTACAACAATTTCCTACTCTTCTATATAAATCCCCCCACCCCATATTGGATCACTCCCATTGGCACACAGATCTAATCTCTCTTTTTTTTTTTTTAATTAGTTATTGATGGACCTTTATTTATTTATTTATACATGGTGCTGAGGATCAAACCCAGTGCTTCACACATGCTAGGCAAGTGCTCTACCACTGAGCCACAACCCCAACCAACACGTAATCTCTTAATCCCATTTCTCCTCTAGCTATTTCCATTTCTCTGCTCTCTTTTATAGGAAAAATCTGCTGCTTGTTTTTGGTGCTCTTTTCAGTTCTGTTCCCTGCACTGGCACTTGCTTGTACCATTCCTCTAGTCCATATCACCAGGGACTTCCAAATTGCTACACAGAATAGTCCTCTTTCATCATCTTATTTGATCTACTAGTAAAATTTCTTTTCTTTTTTTTGTGTGTGATACTGGATATTGAGCCCAGGGGTACTCCACGACTGAGCTATATCCCCAGCCTGTTTTATTTTTTATTTTGAGACAGGGTCTAGCTAAGTTGCTGAGGCTGGCCTCCAATTTGTGATCCTCCTGCTTCAATCTTCTGAATAGCTGGGATTATAGGTATGCACCACCATCCCAGACTATTAGCAGCATTTCAGTCAATCACCCTTGTTTTTGAAACACTTTTATCTCTTTGTCCTTTGAACATAGCTATTTTCCTTAAACTTCATTCTTAACCCCCAATGACCTCATTCAATCTAATGGCTTTAAATACCATCTATTTATACCAAATGTATATCTCTAGTCCAGACTTTTCTCAAACTGCATATTCAATATCTCCATTTAGATGTCTAATAGGAATCTTAAACCCATTATGTCTGCATCTAAACTCCTATCTCTACTCTCTAAACCTGCTCCTCTTTCAGACTGCCTTATCTCAGATAATGGTAACTTCACCTTTCCAGTTATTTACACCTAAACATTAGAGTCATACTAGATTCTTCTCTTTTTCTCATAACCCAGATGTAATCTCACTAGCAAATCATATTGGCTCCATCTTCCAAATCCATCTAGAATGTAATGGCTTTCTACAGTCTCCCTTGCTATCATCTAATCAAAGCCACTATCACATTTTTCCTGGATCATTGCCAGTAGTCCCATATCCTGGCTGCCCAGCCTCTGTGCTTTTCTTCCTACAGACAATTCACATAATAGCCAGAGAGTCCTTTTAAAATCTGAGTAAAATCTTGTCAATCCTTTGTGCAAAAACCCTTCACTGGCTCTCTACCTTAACTAGAATAAAAGCCAAGCCTTACAGTGGCCTTCAGGGCCCTACCTGACCTGAACTCCTCACCCATTATCATTCTGATTATATATCCTATTACTCTGCCTTTTCTTTTATTCCATTCCAGCCACCCTTGCCTGCTTGTTCTTAAAATAAACTAGGCCTCTCCTGCTTCTGGGCCTTTATACCTACTGCTTACCGACCCTTGAATATTCTTCCCTTAGATCACCCCATTGTTTGTCTTCTCACCTCATTCAAGTATTTACCCAAATAATTTCTCAGTGGGTCCTTTCCTGATTCCATTTTAATTATTATTTTTTTTTAGTTGTAGATGGACACAGTACATTTATGTATTTATTTCTGTGTGGTGCTGAAGATCGAACCTAATGCCTCACACATGCAAGTCGAGCACTCTACCACTGAGCCACAACCCTAGCCCTGCTGATTTCCTTTAAAATTGCTATTATTCCTTTCCATTCACCCTAGAAACTCGGTATCTCCCTTTCCTGCTTATTTTTCTTTGTAGCACATAGCACCAACTAAATTTTTAGATGTTTACTTATTTTGTTGATTGTCTTTCTCCATCCTCAACTAGAATGAAAGCTCTATGAGGGCATGGGTTTGGTTTTGTTTGCTGCTATACTCCATAGAGCCTAAATAGTTATTACTAGCATATACTAAATTCTTAATAAATACATCTAGAATAAATTTGTCAGTATTGGGGGGTGACTCAAGCCAGGTCAGTCAGTTCCAGTTATAGCGAATCCTTGAGCTTTTGCATGAATTCCTGAG